CGTAATCCAGCAAATATATTTATTTTAGACTCAATGGCTCCTTAACTACGCAAACCTTTAATAAAATGGTTTAAAAGGCGTTTCATATACTCTACAGGGAAAAGCCGTGGAAGGTTTATTAAGTTGATCAAAGGTTTATTAAATCGATCAATCAACGGACTTTGTTTCTACGCCGTAATGAAACAAATATATTTTTTTCTGGTTAGCATGATTTGCACGAAGTGAAAGCCTATCTCAATTTGCTCAGTAATTTCCTAAAATTTTCATTCTCGGAACAGGGTTCATTTTCGGAACAGCGGCTAATGTAGTAGCTTTGGCCGAGGAGGTCTGGGTACTCAAGCTCGTTTTGTGGCGCTCGTGTTAACGATCTGAATATGTATTTTCCTTCGGAAGTTCAGCGTGAGCACGCATGTGATTTATGCTAACACATCTTGTGTTAGCACGTGGAGTCTCTCGAGACTCCAGTTGGAATATATATAAGGAGTGAATAGGTCGATATATTCATCAAGTGCGACACTACTCGACGGTGCTTGTAGTTTTCTTGTTTGTTTCATCGTGTTTGAGATGCCCTCGAGTCCCGAAATTTCGAAGAACCCTAAAGAGTCTGCTACAGAGGACGTTTTCGAACGTTTTAACACGTACCTTGACCACAAGATTGAAAATCTCTCGTCGGGATTAAGCTCGCAATCGTCAAGTGAAACTGGAAAATTGCAAAGAGCGTCTGAGGCCGGCAAGCTTAAGTTCCAAGGCAACAAAGACCAGTTCCTGTTTAACTCCGAACTTCAGGCGACGGTAGACGAAGCCGCTAATTTTCTTGGCTTGCGCGACGTCGACAAAGCTGCTGAAAAGGTTGAGGACTTAAGAAAAAGTTTGCGACATCGTCAGAAGATCATAAAACTGGCAGACAAGAGCGAAGCAGGTTGGCTTGCGGTGAAGGAATACGAGGCGGAGGAGTTAGCTAGTGATTCGGACGACGAGAAGAGGATCAGGAAGGCGCAGGAGAGGGCTTTGAAGAAGAAGAAGCAAAATGCTTTTAAGAAATCCGAGAAGAATAAGACTCCCCTCAGCGCTCATACTTCTCGCGCTGCTGACGACCGGTCTCTTTTTCGAGGTATGCTCCTTGCCCTTTCTTTGTTTTTTCAACGTGGCAGGCAGGTGCTCTCACTCTGCCTGCCTTACAGTCTTGTGTATTTGTGTTATGCTTCAGCGTTCTGGAGAAGGAAAATGATTTTCCTTCGTACGAACGGAGTGAGGGAGAAGGAAATGTAAATAACCTGGATATGTGAAATTTCAAGCAACGCCTACACATATAACTTCAATTCGCAAGATAATTGCATTGAAACCTTTTATGAGAGGACATTTAAATTATGAAAGTCTAACAATTCAATTGCAGCTGAAGAGTGTGTAAAATGGCTCTCACTGAGCTTTCCTTTTAAAAGTTTCAATGTACTTGGCAAGTGTCAATCATCACGAGCTGGGCGAGTTAGCAGTTCTTTATCAGCCCAGAATTATATAACTAAACGATGATCTTTGATCTTTTTCTTTTTCCAATGCTGATCGTTTGAGCTATAAAATCTCAAGTGTAATTCACGCAAGATCAGATCAGGAAATGATAAGTGTATAATAAAAAAATAACCGCAAAATCCTCTCAGGTGTGAAAATGTTAGATCGTACACATACAGCTAAAAGCAGTTCTGATAAATCAGTGTTTCGCAAGGCCTCTTATCTTTACTCTTTTATCTTCCTTCGCTCGCGAACAATAAGCCATAGGACTGCCTAAATCAACTGCTTCCAACCTACTGCAACAGTTTACATCGTGCTTAAGTACATTTGAGATTGAGGTCTTTTGTCCACTGTACGAATGACTTAGCCATTAACCTGATAACCCAGTAAAGACTGCTTTGCTAAGGTTTTAAGATGACAATCTTATCTCGGCACATCTAGCAAAAGTTTTAATTTTGCGGTAAGAATTTCCGACATACAACTATCAATCAACGTACTGTAGTGTTCCATATAATCTCCGATTGCACAGTAATAAAAATGGGCTGCTTGTTAATAATAAAAAAAGAAAACATTGATTTGGCATGGCCGAGTAAATCTTGAATTCAAATTTCGTAAGTGCACAACGCGCAAATTTGACAGCGGCACCTGCCCCGAAACAAGCCCGCAGTTTTGTGTTTCCTTCGGTTGCCATTACTAATACACTTCAGTTCTTTTCTGAAACTGTGATTGTTTTCATTACCCTAGTAATTTATAGTTGTCTTATGTACTTCAGTTACACTAAATGAAAAAACTACTCCTTCACATAGTTAAAATGAACAAAACTTACCTTTGCTGTTTTTAACCCTTACTTTTCGTTTCAATCCGAGATGTATACGACAGTGATAAGTCAATGTGCTTACACAATTAAGTGAGGTCTTGTTACCGAGACATCTGAACATTTTTCTCATAACAAAGGCCGTTAAAAGCTATTACTTTAATTGCATGGTAGAGCGGTGAGGCTTTCATCATTAGTTTTCTGCCCCTAACAATACCCTGTTTGTTTCAGGCGCGCGTTAACAGATTGCCCTAATTTGTAGTGTAATTTCACCGAGGCTTAGAGCTGAAACAAGACTTTAAACTTTTCTCCGCTGCTAAGTTGTTTCGGTTAGAAATTTGGAACAAGCACAACGTCTTCAGTAGACAGTTTTTTAGTCGAGATACTTAAATAACACTGCTAATTATATCAATTTTATGTTTTATTTTTGTCCTGATCGCAAACAAAGGAGAGGCTTCTAGGGCTGACAATTTTTCTCTTAGTTACATTGAGCTTGATTCAGCAGGGAATTTATAGGAAAAATTATGCAATTATATTGCGGCAAATTCTAGATATTCGCGCTAACTGTAATAAACTGACGAAGGTGTTCGCGAAAAAGCAAATCACATTACCGCGAACAAGCAGGAGTAGTTCTGAGTATTTTGACCTGTTAATTAATTGTCGCGCGAGGTCTGACAGATGTAATAACTGTGTAACTATGAAATATAAGAACGAGGTTGCAGTTTTAAGAGAATCGCACTTGATTGTATCTTGATCTGTTTTGTCATCACAAAGCATAGCTTTTATTTCAGTGAGAACAGAATTCAGAAGTAAAGGCCTCACTGAGAGAATCTAAAATCCTGAAAAACCGGAAAACCCGATTGGCCAGGTTAGTTGGTTAATTGATTGGCAGGTCGACGACGCTGATTTCTGTTTCGTAAATGGTCGATGCCATCATTGGTAACGAAGCCTTTCAGAATGGACGATGCCATATCTACTTTAGTTTAGGTCTGGACAAGGTAGAAACTGGATCTAATTAAGCTGTTAATGGAGTAAAACGCACTCACCAAATGCTTAATTGTTCATGTTCACACTGGTTTGCTTGCAGTTAGCTTTTGTTTGATGGTTAGGGAAGCTCTATCATTAATATTTAAGAAAATCACATTTTATAATTAAATTTTGCAAGGAGCCATAATCGGGGACAGAGATCGTGAGTCTTGGGATCCGCGCGCACCTATCATATGGGGCAACTTTTCTACTTTTAGAACAAAATGCGCCATCCTGACGTCATATATCCGCGCGGATCCACGCACATGTCGAGGGTTCCCGCGTGGATGTTGTCACGTTGCGTGATCAAATGATGAGAGTTGCGAGATTTTCTTGCAGGTTTTTCACCGCGATGGCAGGAAATATGGCAGGGAATAAGAACCAGGGCTCTTATATGTAGTTTTACGCTCTGAGCTAATGAAAAAGGTGAGTTTTTCAGGGTCGAAAACATGACTTCAATTTCGCGCTGTGAATGAATAATATCTGCTTGCGCTAGTTGTACGCGTAAGCTTTTTGCGTAAGAAAACTCTTTACTCTGGTATCGAGTTAATTTGTAAGTTTCCCAAACAATGCTTAATCATAGCCAAACCCGGCTTTTTTTGATAGTTTCTTATTGTTTCTGTTTGTTTGGCGAGTTTGCAAAAGTTTTTGAAAGGAAAGTGTCATTTGCATAGTGCAGCGCGTGCACTTTCAAAACCGAGTCGGCGTTTTCAGTTGTCAACAAATCTTGATAAAGATTTCTTTCGTTGTCTTTTGTGCCGAGATGCTGCAACAATTTTCACCAACGCCAAAAGGCTACTAACATCATGTGTG